CTGACTCATCGTAGTTGACCAACATAATCCCGGTCAATGTTGATTTTTGCACAAATTTGATAATTAATGTTATTTATTCGAAAAAAATATTTAGTTCAGGTTGAAATTCACACGTTATCAAAGTTGAGGTATAAAAATACACTTTTGAAATTGTTCAGGTTGAAATTTACCCTTTTGTGATCTGTTACGGATTTAAACCCAATGATAAGCTTCTTCAACCGCCAGTGTGTATCAATGTAATGTGCTGTGATTACCATATAACTAGCACCTGCAAATAACATCATTACACAACCATTTTTAGCAATGTTAAACTAGCAGTTTCTCATTCTTACCTGTTGGGGAAGCCACCCAAATGTCTGTTGTGAGTGAGACTCTTTGCTTGTTACTCAAGAACAATTTCTTTAAATCTGCTTTTTTCTGCACATACATCTCAACTATGTTTCTTGTTGCTTGAAACAAGTATTTTGTGTATCTTGGAGTTCAATTCCCCAATGCGATGTAGCATAAGAGGTTATCGATCCAAATGGATGTATTGTAAACAATCAAGATATAGCAGAACTAATCAAGTCAAGCCAAGCAGTTGAAAGTTTGGTTTAAAAAACTCTAATGCATAAAAGTAAACTACAGAAGCAATATTGAAAGCAGAAATAAAAGCAAGTAAACAATCAGATAAACAAGGGTCTTAAGGATGGGCTGATGAATCCTCTTAATCTCTTTGGGATGCTTAACATGCTCAGATAGATCTAATCCTAGACAATGAACCACTTAACCTAATCAGTCCAATCTCTTGGCAAAGATTATCAGATCTATAGCACTTCCTAATCTCAACTTTCATTGATGAAACATACTATAAATAGGCATAAAGAACAAGCTCATTAATGTCAATCTACTCTTTACAGGCAATCTCTTGGGCAAGCAAACAGATCTCTGGCATTAGTTGATCAGACATTCCATTTGAACACTTTTTGAGTGCTGGAATGTCTAAGATCTAATCCCACATGGTTAATGCTAAGATTAGCATTAAGATCTCCTAATCCATAAGGTATCTACCTAAATCTATACTTAAGCAACCCAAGAAACTAAGATTCCTCATCACCTAACCCATCCTCTAAACCCAGAAAAACTACTCAGATCTGGAGTTCATCATGAAGTACATAAACCCACAAATCCTTGAATCTTGCATAACTAGATAGATAATGATCTAAGGAGCAAAATATTATATAGAAGCAACTTCAAATACTCAATAGATCAAAAGATATAAAGATTACAAGTTTCTGGAAATGTGTGGTGGCTACAGAGAAAAACCCTAATTAGAACTCGATTTTTGCTTAATGATCCAAGGGGTCTATTTATACTAAAGGCAGAAAGCCCTAAAACACAAAAAGACAAATTACAAAGTCGGTTTGAAGAGAGCTCGGTCGGGTTCATGTCGGGCTCGTTCGGGTCCTCTCTCGGCTCGTCCGAGTCCAGCTTCCTCCTCTGAGTCCGGGTGCTTGATCGTGCTCGCCTTGGTCGGGTTGGATACACTCTATCGGGTACATGCTTTGTAGTGTCCGAGTGTGCTTGTTTTTACTCTTAAATGCAGATGATATGCAAATCCCTATGCTAAAGATCCTAGATGTGAAATATAATGAAAAGAGACTAGAAATCCTAAGAAGTAGAGATCTTAGACATGCAAATAATGCACAAAACATATGCTTAAGAGTATAAAAATATAGGGTTATCATTGCTGTCCTTCTTGAATGAGGCTGGTACAAGTTACACTGGTATGAAAGATAAAAAATGCCATAAACATAAAGAAAGAACTATATTTTTCTTATGAAAAAGCAAAGAAGAGATAAAGAGCTAACCATACTACATAAGTTCTTAAAAGCCTCACTTTCAATGAAAAACAATTGTCACTCTCCAATCACAAGCATCATATCACGAGCTTCATCAAAAACAGATTTAGAAACTCTTGCATCCTTCAGACCTCCTTCTTGATTAATTTGTTTTTGTTGTTGTGTATTGTCTTGATTACCATCCAGCCATGCCAAGTAAGCCTTACACGTTCTCAAATGCCTTTTCAGATGTGAAGTCCCTGATTTTGTAGGGCATGATAAACTATGTTGGCAATAGAGACAGTCACACATATCACGATTGTCTTTATGTTTTGAGAAATGCTCCCATACTTCAGCCCTCTCGCCTTGCTCCTTTTTTGTTTTTGGTTGAGAAGTAGCTCCACTTGAGTCATTTGTTGCTTCGTTGTTGAGACCCTCACCATTTGGAAATGATGATGAATCCATCTGAAACAGAGAAAGGACCCATTGTTAAATACACACGCTTGTAAAGAACACACGCTTCAGTTATATAAGAACAGACGCTTCTAAAGAACACATACTTTTTTGTAGGTTCAAATTATTATATAAGAACACACGCTTCTTTGTAGCTTTGTGGATCGCAAAGCTTTAACATGAACTTTATAAATCCAACTAAGAACACACGCTTTAATACTAAGAACACACAATTCTATTATATAAGAAAACATGATTCCATTATATAAAAACACACACTTCAATATTTACACTGAATTCAAAGAATCTAAACGCTATAAAACACACACTTCAAACTAGTTACCAAAAGCTATAAAACTAAGAATCTAAACACATGATTCCATTAAATAAACAACGAAGACTGATTTCAGTTCACGCTCAAAATAAATAAACTAAGACTAACTTCAAACACAAAAGAAACAAACTAAGACTAATTTGGAACTCGATGAGCTTCAAAAAGGCATCATCGAAGCTCCTTGTAGTAGTAGATGTTGTAATCATCTGTCTCTAAAACCAAAAAAAAAAAAAGAAACGCCGGAAGAAGAGAATTTTTTATTGTTTTTGACTTTTTGTAAAAAAGAGTTGTTGTGGTCTGCAATACAAACGTGTGACTTGCACCTTACCTCCGAGAAAAAGAAAAAACATATATATAAAACATTTCAATTTTTATTTTGTATATAAAGTAATCTTGCTTAATGATGAACAAAAGAAGCATTTATCGTTACTCTCAATTACACAGAGAACAATCCCCATCGTTATTAGCTACAAAAAAAGTAACATAGACGTACGAGAGAGAGAGAGAGACATAGATGGAAAACTCACCTGGGAATAATTCGTTGAAAACTCAGAAGGAGAAGGAGCTTCTAGGGGATGTTGTGAATCCAGTTTGTTTGTTGTATAGAAGCTAAATCGATTCGAGTATATCAGTTTGGAATGATGATTTTTTTTTGGAAATGAAAATATTGAAAATCGATATATCAGTTTCTGGGCAATGAAATCTTAATCGATCAAAAAAATTACAAAGAAATTAATGAAATCGGATTTACAATTGTGTTTTCGGGTATGGTCGGGTATTCGGGTTTACCCGAACCCAAACCCGGAATTTTCAAAACCAAAACCCGATCGGGTATCCTCTTTAATCGGGTTCGGGTTCAGTACGGGCCGGGTTCGGGTACGGGCTTCGGGTACGAGCTTTCTCCCAGGGCTAGTTCAAATAGGATATTACATAAAAATACAATCAATCAACTTTGGGAACCCTGACTCTCAAACCAGCTCGCGATGGTAGATTTCTTCTTCCTTTGTCCATGTTCTCATGTTGATTTAATCCTCTTTGTTGATTTTCTTCCTGTTTTATGACATAAAACTTAGGAAAGACAACCAAATCACGCACATCGTTCGGAACGATCAACATAGACATGATAGGAACTGGATATATTGTCCTTGAATATCCCAATGCTCACTGATCCTGTATATATTAATGATGTATCTAGCTCTTGGAATAAAACATCGCACCCATTTATGTTGTCCTACGTGTTTATCAAGATAAGTACTTGTGGCTATAAACTTTTTAATGAAATCAGCATAGAGTTTCTATCATTCAGCCTGATATAACCTCCTTTATTTTAATTTTACAGCCGATTTAACACAGTATATCTCGATTCTTTAAATTAAGTACAATGTAGCTTTCAGTGCTTAAAAGTCTTTGTAGATTTTTATATGGGAAAAATGTCAAAAAAATAGCTAAGTTTTGTTGACTTTGCTGATTTAAACACAACGTTTAATCTATGTTAAAATCTCGAAGACGGGGTTAACTATTTGTGTGGTGGTTCTGTTTAGCCTAAACAACCACGCTTTTTAAACAACAAAATGACGTTGGAAGTTACTTTTTTCCTCCATGGGTCCTCGCTATGGCAACAATTCGGCAAAAGGTAGAGAGAATTTGTAGATTTTCTAAGGTTAGGGATTTACATTTGTAAATTGTGAAACGATTTGGGATTGTGTTTCTTTGAATTTTTAAAGGACGTTGTTTCGTGGTTTGAAATACATGGTCGTTTAGGCTAAAAGGAAGCAACAAACATATAGTAATTACCCCATTTCACAATTTTCCGCCAGATAAAACATCGTGCTTAAATCGGCAAAGTCAACAAAACTTAACTATTTTACGGAAAGTCAACATTAATTTGGTGATTAAAATGATTTCTTGAAAGTTTGGGATTAAATCGTCCCAAATTTAAAAGTTCGGGACTTTTATGACATTTTTTCCATTTTTATATATACTTCTTGTTGTAAAAGATGAGTTTTGGAGTGGGAATGGAGTAAATATTTCATAACCGATAAATGCTGAAGACAAAGATAGCTGGTCGGTACATAACGTATAACCGATCGGGAGGCGCTTGGATTTTGTTTAGAGTTTTCCATTTATATTAGTGTTTCTCTTTTGTAGTATAAACATAAGTTTTCGACTTCGCAAGCCACATAAACAATTGTGTGTGATTTTCTTAGTTTCTTAAGGTGTTACTTTTGATATTTCATTATTTGTAAAAAAAATTCTAGATCTTTGATATAATATTGCAATTATAAAATCTCTTCTTTTCAATTATTTTATTGGTTTTTGTCCGTATGTTAGTAGTTTTACTCATTGGAGTTTGAGTTTTCTAATGAGATAATTATGTAGAAACCTTAGCCATATTCTCATTCAACTCATCCGATAACTCAAATAAATAAATAAAAAAGATTTCAAATCATACTCTAATACAAAGAGAAGAATCATTAATCTAAAAAGCACACATTAATTGATGATACAAGCAGACATGAACAATAGAGGAAAGAATCAACGGGATATGATATGATTTGATAAACCAATAAAGGAAATACATTGGAGCTCTTCTCACTTCTTCTCTCCAAAATATCTGCGTAAAATAGCCAATAAATTTCGTTATGGCTTCATATTATCTATATAAATATATGATTACAATATTCGAATATTTGAACGTAAAACTTTTTTAATTCGATTGGACTGAAGATATTTTTTGGTAATGCCGTAGTAAATACGTTTCAACTTCAAGTTTTAATTAAAAAATGAGAGGGAAAAATAGCATACCCTTCAAGTAAAGTGAGTTTTAATCTCATATGGAACAAGTGTACCCTGGAGGTGGGTTTTTGCCACAGGTAAGAAGAAGCTGAAGAGCAACAGGGACGTAAAGTTTAAGGTCAAGAGCTTTGATCTTGAGGGTAGTGCAGAGACAAGCGGCGGCTTCAATTTCTGCAAGGCCTTTAAGTAACGGACAGCATTTGTTAACCGCTGGATCCCCAAGGCCTATCTTTACTAGACCACCCAATAAGTCCACGCACGCACCCAATTTTAGTGTGTTTATTGGACATGTAGCCTTATCGCCCCCTGGAGGTGGAGGACAATCTCCACCTCCTGGGGCGGGTGGGTTTGTCCCGGGTGGAAGGATAGGACCAACAATTGGCAAAGGTGGCAATGGAAGATTTGGGCCTACCACTGGAGGTATGGGTAGCCCTGACACTGGAGGAAGAGGTAACTTAGGGACTGTCACCGGGGGAACTGGTAGCTTAGGGACGGTCACTGGAGGAACTGGTAGCTTTGGGACGGTCACCGGGGGAACGGGTAGCTTAGGGACAGTCACTGGAGGGACGGGTAGCTTTGGGACGGTCACTGGAGGAACTGGTAGCTTTGGGACTGTCACTGGAGGAACTGGTAGCTTTGGGACTGTCACCGGAGGAACGGGTAGCTTAGGGACGGTCACTGGAGGAACCGGTAGCTTAGGGATGTGTACAGGGGGTTTCTTGGAGGGCTTTCCGCCGCCCTTGGGGGGATTGCATGAGCCGCATGAGAGGGAATGTTGGGGAAAATAGATAATGAAAATGAGAAAGAGGCAAAGAGAGAGAGATGAGAGTTTGAACGAGTCCATGTTGAGTTAGAGTGGATGGAGGTAACTATACGAAAGAGTGTAGGAATATATAAAGAAAGAATGGGAAGAAGGGTTCACGTGAAGATGGGGGCTACTTCTGCAATAAGAAGAGACACCCCAAAATAAGCATGGTTGGCAATTATCATAAGAATACAAGATTCCCTTCATGACCCATCGCTATATCTCATCACATGTCCCCTAAAAAATTTTCACTCCTTTTGTAATTGCTTCTTTGTCTTGTGTTAACTACAGTTTTTAACAAAGGTAACTTCAGTTTCATTTAACAATGTACAATCATTTTGAATCTTGGTTCCTTCTAGTTAAACAATGGAGGAAATGTAATGAATCAAACTAGCGAGACAGCATAATGACTAGCTAGTATGATTTCCAAATGTCAGCCGTTTGTGTTCCTAAGCATCTCCACAAGTCAGCCGCGAAGGAATACTTCTGCACCATGCATAGAGAAGACGTTAAGGCTATTCGAAAGAATCTTGTGCCTTCCGAGGACCATCAGATACTCAAGTTCGAATACAGTCCCAAAGGGTTTAGGTTAGGGAACAACAACATGAGCTGAAATGTGGTTGTTCTAAGATAGTAGCTATAGCACACACAATCTTAGATAAAGCATTTCTCTAGGCATGCTTACTATTTGAGTTCAGTTCATAGATTACCCCTCCGGGACGGTCTCAGCCTCTAGAAACTGTACGGCAGACCGGGGAGAGATAATTTACTTATAATTGAAGATGAAGCGTATAAGCAAAAAACTAAAGTTGGTAATGGCCAATTCATGGCCAACGACAGTCTATCAATCAACCATATATTTTAATGTAGATATCATATAAGAGTTATATTAAAAATTCAGGAACAGATAGCATATATATAGTTATATCCAAAATATACTTCCAGAGGTAAAGAAGCAAGACTGACATGTGAAATTCAGGACACTCTTTTGTTGTTTGGTGGTTTTGTTACATAGTGTCATAAAAGAAAAGATCATGTGTGCGTGGACCATCTTCTTGTTTTTTTTACTCTCTTCAAACTTCTTCTCTTTTCACCACTCTCTTCCTTTTTACCCTATCTACTACGAAAGAGTCCGAATTGACCATCTAATGAACGAGTACCATTCATAAGCTCTCTTGTATCAATCTAATTGACCATATATATATACATCTATGTATTATCCAAGTAACCATAAGCTTTCTAAGAAAATCTTGACTGTTTGTTTACCTAATTCTTGTAAATAACTTGTTATATTATTAAGTAACATGCTACTTTAGTTTACGGTTACGTGCATTTATTTTTGAAAAATCTAAAGATATATTTGACTTTATAGTCATGATGGCTTCGATTTGATATATTATTTCTAAAATATTTACGAACATGATAGTAGCGGAAACGAGTTATATTGCGTGTTTATTTTAACTGTGTAGGATTGACTTGTATTTTCTGGATTTGGATGGTGAATTTGCAAAAAAATGCAACTTGGAGGGTTAATTTGCACAAAACCCTAGTATTTACTATTTACTAAATACTAAAATAGTATGTCATTTAAAAAACAGTGTTTTAGATTTTTTTTCCTTATCTTTTAGTCCTCAATTTGGTATATTATCTTCTTCCAAATGAAAAATAATATGGTTAACTTGCATAAATAAATAACTAATGTGTTTTATACATGATTATATGTAATTATGTATTTATCAAAAAAAAAGTAATTATGTAAATACAAACAACAAAATAATGTATGAATAGTTTAAAACAAAAATCCCTATAAATCATGAAGTGATAATGTGGTACCCTATCCTTTATCAAATGAATAATAGAGTAATGATACTATTAACCAGATTCAAAACCTATCTAAGATATCTTTTTTTTTCCCTCCTCGGGAAGGATACGAATCGGGGTAACATGTATCAGTCCAACAAAAGCCAGTGGTCAGTGTATATGGCCGGTCGTAAATTCCAAATGACAGATGTATGAGTCATTAATTCGTAACTTTTGCCAGCTGCAATGTATGCTAATGACCCTTGAGAGGTGCTATAGTTTTGATTTCAATGGTTTAGATTCTTCCAACACATCCCATGGCCGACCACAAGTTCATCTCTTATGTTCTAAAATGAGTTATGATCCACTGCTTCTTTCTACTTGTAGATAGATAGAACTGTTGTTCTGGGGTTGTGATTTGTGGTCACTAATCAACAACCCATATCTGTACGTGATAATGTCTGAACTGAAGCTATATATGTATAGGCGATATGTAGGACTCTGTTTTTTTTAGCCATGACTTTATTTATTTCGGAAATTTTGGTTCGATTATTACACCGAGTCCGTACAGCCTCACGTCAAACAAAACCAAGAGACAAGTACTTATGTACAAACCCACGAGTAGTACAGGAAGTGAGTCAACGACCATCAATTCGTTTTGAACCACATCCAAGTGGTAGACGTGATCCCCTAGCTGAGAGAGACGCAAGGACCAGTAAACTAAGAGGAGGCGAGCTAAAATATGGTGCTAGAAGAGACCCGTTGCTATCCAATCCCATCCGAACCCACAAGACGAATTACAGGTTATCTCTAAACAATGGTTATGAGTATTTTGGACCTGAAAGTTTTGAATTTGCAGGACATGAAAGAGATTATCTACAATGGGAAATCAACATGGACAAGTACTTTAGGTATTATTCCATTCCCAAAGAAGAGAGGCTCACCTACAGTCTTGAACAACTCATGGGAAGTGCAAAACATTGGTGGAAGAGAGAGGAAAAAGATAGAGTATGGTACAAGGAGCCATCACTAAGAACGTGGGGACAACTAAAGCTGCTTATGAGGGAGAGATATGCACCTCAAATGCTATCCCAACCAGGTCAAAACACTTATCCCTCAAAGGAACCAAGTCAAGAGAACACAACACATCAACGTGTTAGTTACAATCAAAACGCGGATATATCACCCGCCAAGGTAAGTGACACAAATTCTAAGCTTAATGTTTATCAACAAGTTGAGCACGTGATACACTTGCTTTCATCCAAGAATAATGAGAAAGGTATAGGTGAAAGGGAAGATTCGGCTTCAATACCTTTACTTAAGCCGCAAGATAAACAAGAGCAAGGTAAGTCCTCTAACTATTTAAATTCAAATGCACCAACATGTTATAGATGCCATAAGAGAGGTCATTTTGCTGCAATATGTCCTGAAAGACAAGTAGAAGATATCACATCAATAGAGTTAAAACTGAATGCATCTAACTCAAATGATTGTCTAGTGAAATCAAGTTTAGAATTTTCCAATTCTAGATTAATGCACTTGTCTTTGCCAAAGGTTATTGATGCAGGTCTGTGCCATATCATGAATGACACGGCTGAAGAAGCAAACCATAATGTAGCAACTCCAAAGGAAGTTGAGAATGACATAAGCCTTAAGGAGAAACTTTCGGAAACAACGGCATCACAAGTTTGCAAAAATAAGACGTGTGAGCAAGCAACTGTTGAAGCACGTGTGAAGGCACAACTATATTCAACATCATCTGATCTTGCTTCAAACATCACACTCATTAAGGTTGAGTTAATGCCAAACACCTTACATGGTATCCTAGTAAGTGAAACCTATGATCTTGTTCAATATTGGAATAATTTAATGATTAATCGTAGTTTCAAACACTTTGTTTTAAATGATTATATTTCAAGTATAATGCACTTGATTTTAGTCTTAAGTGTCAAGAAAGAGACAGGTACCATAGAAGAGTATTATGATGAACGAGAGACCACATCCCAAAGGATAATTAATGTGGAGCAAACGGAGAAACTAGCAAAGAGTGATAACATGCATCCAGTTCAAGAGCTTAAGATGTGTTTACCAGCTAATAAAGATGATGAAGTTAGCACCAACAACATCTTGCTGCAAGAAGAATCACCGGACCAGTCATTGAATCAACCAACCGTGGTTATTTCGAAAGATATATTCAACAAAGATCTATGTCAAGTAAGTCCCACGTTACTTCGAGTTATTTCTAATAATTTGAATGATGTGATAATAATGTTGTTAAGGTTTAGAAAGTTTGAGAGAAACGTTGGTTATTTAAATAAACATGTAGAATCAATTTCTTGTTTTAAATCATATCGATTAGTTGATTCACTTTGTGACATACTTATTGATAAACTTTATAAAAGAGAAATGGTTCAACTCGTCCTTGTTTTACATATTTATATTGTTCCCATGACTGTATTAATGCACTTGTTCTTTGCCAAAAGTGTCAACAACATTGCAGGTACGAATATGGATCATAAAGGCGATTCACCGAAGATGAAGAAACGCTTGAATCAAAATCAAACCTGGAGTAAACCAGCGCCATTAGTGATCACACCATCTTTATTGGAGTCTAGGAGAGTCCCAAGTTCTTTTTTAATCAAAGAGGAACCGCCAGATCTCAAAGCTCAAGCAAAAACCCGAGAAGGAGCTAAACACATTACACCATCAACCGTTGTACTAGATCAAAACCAAAGAGTGATCTTATCTTTCTTGCTCAAAGGAGAGCCACCCGATGCACCATGGATCATGCAGACACAACATTACCAAGGTAAGACATTAAACTCCCAAAATCGCATGAAAGCTAAGCTTGGAATCTCTTGATCATCAAGTGATCTAAAGTTTGGAGTGATTCCAATCTTGCATCATCTGGTTTGCTAACTTGCTTTCTCTTGGTGCAGATTGTACAGTTTCGAGGTCGAAACTTTTTCAAGGTCGAAACTTTTTCAAGAGAGAGGGTATGATGCGGACATCAGAACTAGATCAAATCGGGAGCACACCAAACCAATCGGTCCACACACCAAACCGGTTTACATGGAGAATTTTGGAGAATCTTTGCCTAAATGGAGTTCTGATCAAGTATAAGACGAAGGGTTAATTATTCACCATGATATTAACCCTAAGAAGTCCGACAGTTTAAGAGGGATCAAAAATCAGCAAGTCAAATCACCTTATTATTGGGATATGACTGTTGCACTCTTTTTCCCTTATCTAGGGATTGTCCCAATTGGTTTACCTAGAAAGGTTTTTAATGAGACAACACCAAGTCATCAAGGAATCATTCACCATCCATATGATTCAAAGATGATAGCTGATGTACATTCTGATCTACTCGCGGACAAGCATGTTGAACTACTCGCTGACAAGCATGCTGAACTACTCGCTGACCGACTGCCTGAACTAGTCGCTGGCCGACTGCCTGAACTACATCAGATTGCGAGCTTTGAGGATTTGAAGACTTTTAACACTTGGATCAGCCATGAAGGGAGTCCACACATTCATTTGATTCACCAAAAGGCCCCAGCCCATGGAGAACAGCCCAAGAGAAGACCCAAGTCTAAACCACCCTTTGAATCAAGGCGATTGATCTACTTGGAGCAAGATAAGGAAAATCTCCTTTACCTTCATATGGACGTGTCTCAAAGCTACATATGGAAACCAGGAGAACTTCTAAAGCCACCAGAGAATATTTGGAGTATATTCACACACAATAATAGCCATTGGATCAGATGGATTTAATCATATTATTACTCGCCTTTTCCGGACTCGATTGTCATCAAGGGATAACGACTCTTGCCTATTAAGTTCATGTGTGAGATACACCATCTCCAAGTGCATAAGAAGCTTCCAAGATGTCATTATTACCTTCCCAAGTTGACGAGATACAAGGCACACCTCACTTGCCTTATTTGGACCGATTCTACACTTAATGGGTCCAACATCCATATTTTCATTAATTGTTGCGATTTGTATCTTCTTTCTAGGTTTAGAACGTGTGTACTCAGCCTATATAAGCTGATCATTAGTCTCATTGTAAAAACACCCTTGATCAATTTAAAGTAATAGAAAGTATTCTTCTTATCAAAGTTTGAGTCTTTGTCAATCTTCTTCTTTAGTTCTTTGTGAGTGAGTCATTTAGTTCTTTAGAAACCTACGGATTAAGTTTGTTGTGTGATTCAACAACCTTCATTCGTCCATTGATCGAGTGAGTCGATTATCCCACTGATTGATCGAGTCAATCACCTGAACTATCCCCTGAACCACCCACTGATTCACGAGAGAGTGCTTCTTGCCAGCTCGTGAATTCCACCTTCCGCAAGCTAAGCTTGTAATCTCTTGATCATCAAGTGATCTAAAGTTTGGAGTGATTCCAATCTTGCATCAGGATCGGGTATTTCGGGTTTGGGTTTGGGTTATCCTGAATTCTTAAAATTCAAAATTCGAGTATCCAAATATGTCCAAACTAATAAAAAATTTTAAAACCTATATAATTTTTGACTTAAATTTATTTAAATAGGAGTTTATAACTTTAAAACAATCCAAAATATACAAAAATTGGATAATTTGACGTTAGATTATGAGAATTTTTGAGAAATACCCCTTTTGGTGTACCCCTTTTTAAAAATACCCCCTTTATCTATCCATTTTCAAATATACCCTTATTTAAATATAAAAAATTATAAAGTTTTATATAGTTTATAAGGTACTTCTATATAATAACTACTACCGGGAGATTTGGTAAAAATATTTAAAAATGTTTTAAATAGTTTTAAATCGTTTTTATAAGTTTTATAAGGTTTTTAAAAGCTTTTTAAAAGGGTTTATACAGTTTTTATAAGGTTTTTATATGGTTTTTATAATTTATTTTCCCGCTATATATGAAAGTTATATAAAATTTTATACACATATAAAGGTAATTTGTATATATATTTATAAGCTTACATACATATTTGGATAAATTTCAACATTTTTAATCGCTTTTTTGATAAAGTTTGAAAAAGGGGTATTTTTAAAAAGAGGTATATGAAAAGGGGTATTTTTGAAATTTCCCCGAAGATTATCACAAGTACATATATATTATTAATAAATTATTATCATATATTTATATTATGGGTGTATTCGGATATCCGTTCGGGTTTTGGTTCGGGTTAGGATTTTCGGGTTTAGAGATATTGAACCCGTGTGGGTATTTCTAGATTTCGGATTCGGATCGGGTATTTCAGGTTCGGGTTCAGGTTATCCTGAATTCTTAGAATTCAAAATTCGAGTATCCAAATATGTCCAAACTAATAAAAAATTTCAAAACCTATATAATTTTGGACTTAAATTTATTTAAATAGGATTTTATAACTTTTAAACAATCCAAAATATACAAAAATTGGATAATTTGACTTTAGATTATTACAAGTACATATATATTATTAATAAATTATTATCATATATTTATATCATGGGTGTATTCGGATATCCGTTCGGGTTTCGGTTCGGGACTGGTTCGGGTTAGGATTTTCGGGTTTAGAGATATAGAACCCAATCAGGTATTTCTAGATTTCGGGTTCGGGTTTGGATCGGGTTTTTCGGATCGGGTTCGGGTTGGATTTTTGGGTCCGGGTATTTTGCCCAGGCCTAATAAGTGTAAATGACATATTCTATTAAAAAAATAGATTTTTGCTGTTAATTATAAGAACAATTAAACTCTTTTGAGTATTTCTTCTAAGAAATACTCTTTTTAGTGTACCCCTTTTAAAAATATTTCTATTATCTATTCATTTTCAATGATATCTCAATTTAAATATGAAAAATTATAAAGTTTTCTGTGATTCATAAGGTGATTTTAGATAATAACTATTACTGGAAGATTCAATCCAAATAATTTATAAGGTTTATAAAAAAAGGTTTTAAATCGTTTTTGCAAGATTTTTTAAAGGTTTTTAAAAGGATTTTAAATGTTTTAAAATGTTTTTATAATGTATATATACTGTATTTATGAATGATATATAAAATTTTACACATTTCTAAAAGTAACTTTGTGTGTATATTTATAACCTTACAAAAATATTTGGACAAATTTCAACATTTTTAGAGGCTTGTTTGATAAAGTTTGAAAAGAGGATATTTTTAAAAAGTGTTATTTGAAAAGGGGTATTTTTGAACATTTTGTTTTTATTTTTGATAAATTTATAATGCTTATTCGATTTTCTTTAGTTTATAAAATCTATTTGATGCAATTTTTTTAATATTTTCTAATCTGTTAAAATGCATCACTTAATATATTATTTGGTTACAGTTATATCTTATTATATAAACCTTGGTTTTCAAAGTTAGCCATTAACAAGATCGTGACACGTGTCAATTATAATTGATAAGATATTGACACATGTCGTAACTAATTTTGTTAATATTTGGATAATATAGAAATATTATTAACCTATCGAAAAAGGAAATATATAAAATAAATATTATTAATAAAATATACAAATAACCTAATTTCAGTTATGTCAATTTGGTTTATCAATAAGATAGGGATTTAAAATTTATAATTAACAAGAATATATGACGATTTTTGTTTACAGAAGAGAATTAAGGTTTAAACTTTAATTTTACGATTAAATCAGGTTATTTGTTGGTTTGGGTATATAAATGATAAATAAGAATTATGGTTTATCTTTATAAATTAAAATTATGGTTGAAGTTTAACAATTAAACGAGATTATATGTCGAAACTTGGGTTTTAAATTTACTAACTCACGTGATCATGATAAGTGTCAAGTAAAAACATAAGATGTTGCAATATGGTATATCTAATTTTGTTAATATTAAGATACAAATAGATTTTTTAAACAACATTAAAAATAATTATAAAAAATTAAAGAGAATTTTTGAGAAATATCCCTTTTGGTGTATCACTTTTCAAAAATACCTCATTTATCTATCCATTTTCAAAAATATCCATGTTTAAATATGAAAAATTTTAAAGTTTTATATGGTTTATAAGAAACTTTTATATAATAACTACTACTTGGAAATTTGATACAAATATTTTATAATGTTTTAAAAGATTTTAAATCGTTTTTACAAGTTTTATAAGGTTTTTAAGTGGTTTTAAAAAGGGTTTATAAGGTTTTTAAAAGGTTTTTAAAAGGTATTTATAAGTTATTTTACGCTATTTATGAAAGATATATAAAAATTTAAACATATATCAAGGTAATTTGTGTGTATATTTATAAGTTTACACACATATTTGGATAAATTTTAATATTTATAGTTGTTTTTTTATAAAGTTTGAAATAGGGGAATTTTTAAAAAGTGGTATGGAAAAAGGATATTTTTGATAAATTCAAAAGTAAAAAAATTGATATTTATATAAAAAAAAGCGTAAGCTTATATATTTAGACACAAATTATCTTTCTATTTGTGTAAATTTTAAATACCATATAAATACCTTTTAAAAACCTTTTAAAATTATTTAAAAAACATATAAAAACTTTGTAAATCTTATAAAAACCTTATAAAAGTCTTATAAATGCCGTTTAAAACCTTCTTAAAACTTTATAAATATTTGTATTGAGTCTCCCAATAGTAATGATGATCTAGATGTACCTTATAAACTATATAAAAGTTGACAATTTTTCATATTTGAAAAGGGATATTTTTAAAATGGATAGAAAATTGGTGTATTTTTAAAAAGAGGTACACCAAAAGGGGTATTTCTTAAAAATTATCTTTTAACTATTAACCTAATTTTTGGTTTTGCGAGTTGTAGGTTTTACAATTATAAGGGTTATATGTTGAGTTTATAAATGTGCATTATAGTTTAGATTTTATTATTAAACGAGATTATTTATCGGTTTGGGTTTATTAAAGATGAGTGAGATTTAGGTTTTACAATTAAACAAGGTTATTTCTCAGTTTG